TGAGTTTCTGTGAGGAGATGCACAGAGAGTGAATGGATAAAGACCTGAAGAGTAAGACCTATGGAGTCCTACGGACAGAGCAGAGGTAGACAATGATAAGTTTCCAATTCAGAGTACACTGTGAAACACTCAGAGGAATGTCCAGCTGGAGTCACAGAAACTCTGTGTAGGTAAGATGGCAAAGAAGTGCTGAAAGCTCATTTGTATCCAAGGTAGCCAAAAGATCAGAAACAGTGGAGGTGGATGACATTCAGAGCTTTGGTAGAAGAAAATTTATTAAGCTTTTAATGAGACAAGTTTCAGTTGAACATGGCACAGAAGTCAGACCAGAATGATGCCTACAGTGAAACTGAGGGAAGATGCCTAAGACTGCATCAGGAGCCCAGGCAGTCAATAGAATCACTTGGGGATCCAAGACCCTTGGGGATCTTCAATAGTCAGTTGGATAAGGATCTGAGCAACCTGATCTGGCTGTGAAGTTAGCCCTGCACGCAGCAGATTGTGCTGGAGATCTCCAGAGATCACTTCTAACCTGTATCACTCAACAGGTTGTCATATTAATTGACTGACCATGAGAGTGGCAGCAGTTGGAGCAAAAAAGCAGTGTTTTGTTAGTTGAGAAAGACTACAGGTGTGAGACTTCTGGCAATTAGGTTGCATTTTTTATGCCTAGTGAATGCCAACCCCTCAGATGGGTATAATAATTACTTTTATCTTAGCATTGAAAATGCCCTGCCCTTGATGTTTTAAGAACAAATGCCTGATACAGTGGAATAGAGTTTAGCTAACTTGCTTAGGTTTTTTTCCCTTGCATAGAGTATAGGGAATAAGTTTCCATTTAGTAAATGTTAGGATTTTCTTATACATAAACAATCATGTTTTCTTCTCCTTTGGACTAGGTTCTCCATATGAACTCCGTGAGTGTGAATTCAGAGCTAAAACAATGTCTTTCCTCCCTGTAGAAAAAGACCCCCATCTTAGCAGATGATCCTCAAACTTAAGATCTCATTAATTGCTTCAATACCAACCTGCAAATATTATGCTAATATTTGAATTCATAACTGCCTATAAAAATCTGTTCACATTGTTTATTAGCAAACAGCTATTTTTTTCAGAATAACACTTTTATAACTGGTATATCTTCACATTAAAGCTTTACCCTTTAGGTATAGTTGAGTCTGTGTTGTATATAGAAAGTTCAAAGACAGAACACACCTATGCATCGGGACATTTCTTCCTCTCATCCAGTTTAACCTGCAGGTACCTGCGATTGATTTATTTGCTTCATACCTCCATTTCCTTTCAGTAATTAGAAAATGAGGAATAACTGTACTTATATAATATTTAAAACTCCTTGAGATTTGCAGAGGAGAAGGACTGTGTAAGTGCTAAACATTTTCCTATTTTTCTCTTTTGTTTCTCTTTTTTTTTTTTTTTTTTGATGTGGTGTGGAGAGTACTATGTGGAAGCATAAATACTTGCATGCATATGGCACGTTTTCAAACTGGGAACACGAGTATCTGGAAAACCTTCTAGTTTCATATTTTATCCTTGTAAAATGTTTTCTAAAATAACAGTTTCTTGTTATTTAACTGTGCTGCAAAAATATGTGATGTGGGTAAGTATACTTGGACAAATGGGTACATCCTCAGGGAAGATACAGTAAAATCTATAGTAAGTATTCCTTCTAGTCTTTAATCCATTCCCCAGCTCCATGAAATGTAAGACCTTCCAAGCGAAGTCAGTGGCTCTTATGCTGTGATTCTTCAGCTGCACCTAGTAGCCTGTTTATCTAGCTTCTGGATTATGTTGAGGGTTTTTTTTCTCTTTTAACACTCCTGTGAATTTGGGTGCCTCTATTTCTTCAGGTTCCAACAATACAACAAAGTTTTCCTTTCTGTAGTCTAGCTGACTCGGCCTAGTACACTACCATGAAAAGGTAGTTTGTCTTGGTGTTCCTTTGTGATCTGCGCACGTACAGCATATGATTCATGTTGAAGTGCAGAAAGACCTATCCAGTTGTTGTCCATTGGCCTCTTTCTCTCCACAGAACCTTTCTTTACCTGCTAGGAGTTTGTCAGTTGGGTCCATGCTTTAAAAGCACACAGGACTGAAAATGAATAAATAAAATGATAGTAGCATGATTTTATCATTTGTTTACTGGTAAATGTCTGTTGTAAGTAATGAGACTTTTCAGTTCAAAGACCAGTCTTTGTCACTTACATACAGCAAGACTATTGAAGATTAGTTTTGACTAGCAGCAAGAAAAATGCTTAAGATGCCTAAAGGGTCAACATGAAATGTTAATCCAGTTCTTATATCTAGAAAGCTGTCACGAGTCTTGTCATACGCTTAAACTCCCAAATCTGACAATGTACAATTGCTGAGGACAAACTTAGTCTTGTCGCCTTGCTATGAAGTCAAAGAAATTCTGAAATGATTAAGGTGAAGAGTTTTTACTGAGCCATTGAAGACTGCAAATATTTTGCACAATCCAAGCATGTTTCACACTTTTCATGAGAAATATCATGGATGGAGGGTGGAAGGCAGCAAAAGGCCCTAGAGATGGAGCATTGCCTAGTTTCTGTAAAACATGATCATCTGATAAATTCATCACTAAAATTTTCATTGAAGGATTCATTGGTTCTGTTCTTCCTGAGCACATATGCAAGAAACAGGAAATGCTTTCTTTCTGCCGTATTTGAATATATATCCAGAAGAGTATGTCAGAGTTGGACCTGACTAATAGTTTCTTTATGCTTGCTATAAGGAATAGTTTTAAGAACTTCAGCCTCACTGCCTCATAACATCAAAGTTTTATTCATTTTGATCACATAGACATGTTATTCATGTACCTTCTTTGACTTGCATGCATTCTATACTCTTCAAGGATATCTTTATGTAGAAGCCTTACTCTTCAATGAAAGCAAGGTGCTTTTTTGACTAATTGAAGTTCAGGATTTTGCTTTGAATCTGAAATACTGTTAGGAATACTATATATCCACCACATAGAAGAGAATAGTGCTTCTGACTGAAAACAGAAAGAAAGTTCATTGGTGAATACTTACTGCTGTTTTTCCCTTTTTTGAAAATTGAGTTGGGGGTAAGCAAAAATTCATTTCTCATTGCTTTATGTATGAAACCTTTTGTAGAGTTCTATTTGTTTTTAATCCAAATGCAAAATTTGCTTCCTGAGGAAACTGAATTTCAGCTAAAGTTTTTAAAATGGAAGAGAAGGTCACCTTGCTGTGTCAGGCAGGCTGAAAGTAAAAAGAGCTGTGCCTTAACTTGCTGAGTGTTTTTTTGGTTGTGGGGTTTTTTTTGTTGGTGGTTTGTTGGGTTTTTTTGTTATGGCAGGCAATTGCGTGGAGATCTTGATGGTGACATTACTTGGCAAACATTTTGGAATCAGCTCAACATGTGACATCACACCCCCTTAAGGTTTTCCACATAAAATACATCCTCCAAAAAAAAAAATACAAAAAATGAGACTTAATCTGAAATCTATTATTACATCCTCTAAGGTCTCATTAGGCACCTCAGTATTCCCCTTCTTCCCACCATTTTCCAGGCAGCTAGACTAAATGTTGCAGATAATAGTGGTAAATGTTTTATAGTCTTCTGGGGTGGGGGAGGAGAGAGGGGCAGGGAAGTGAGTTGTAATCCCATGTCTATCCGGTTTAAAAAAAAAATAAATTCATGCAGTGTGAGCACATGTGTCTGATGTAACATTTTGCCACTCTTAGCAACTGTAGCTGTTTAGCTCTGTCTCTAAGAGGTGAGTGTCTCAGATTTTGAGAAAAAGACAGCTGAGCTAAAAACTTCCATTGATCTCAGGTTTTGGTTCCTGATATGATGATGTTTTGCAAAAAACAGTTCATAGCATGTGCTTTTCTGTGTGTGCCTGTGCTCGCCTGCATCTGTATACATCTTTCTGAGAAGCAAAGGGGTTTTTCCCCAAGTCTCTGTGATTGCAAACCATAAATTTGGCTGCATACCCAGTGGGAAGCTTATGTGCTGTCTTTGATAGACGTGCAGGAGAGAGGTGTAGTGCAAAGTGTGAACACTGCCAAAATACGTGGAACATGATGTTACGCAGGCGAAGCAAAGGAAGAATTATCTGTGCAGAATGTGAGTTTAGAACAGGCTTGATGTTCTCACACCCAAATATTTCCATCTGTTCCTAAGTGAAAGGAAACTGAGACAATATTCTCCTATCTTCTGGAGTAGCTATCCAGGGAATAGGAAAAGTCCTTTGATACTTTTTTCCTTATGATGTGTTCAGTTTTACTGCAGATTCAGAGAAGCCACAGTATAAAGTCGCATTTTAAGCACAGTAAATTACATTAAATTCCTCTTAATTCTTCTGAGAATTGGTATTGATATCCTAACACTGTGCTTAAACAAGCTGTGATGTTTTTAGGTTATGCTTCAAAATAAAGTTGGATTTATGGGGTTTATGCTAATCCCGATATGAGAGTTTTATGTCATTCTTATTTTCAGAGCTTTCTGTAAATTATCGTCTATCTTTGCTTCCTCCATCTATATTTCTGTGATCTGTCCAAAGACCTACTTTTCCTCATGTCCTGTTCTTCTGCCATCGAAGGCTGTGTGTCTGTTTTCATATTCTGTTACTTACATACTGTAGTATATACCGAGCATCTAAACCAGGAACCCTGAAAGGTTCACCTGCTTCATGTTGGTTATAACTTTATACATTTGCTTATCTCCCTGTATTCTCTGTAGTGCAACATCCATGTCATCCTACAGCAGTACTGAAGAATCTCCCAACTGTTTGACCTACCTCACCTGCTGACAAAGATGTGGGCATTATTGTTATTTACAAGTAATTAGTCATGTTTTCACAGCTGAGCTCTCAAAATACAACTCCACAAATATTTCTGATTTTTAGTGGATCCAGGATAAGAAAGCAGACAGATCCTTAGATGTAATGTTACACTCCACATACTTCATAGTACTATGTCAAGAGGTAACCTTACCTTTCACATTCTTGTTCCAGTAAGTTTGTAAACTCATCACTTTTTTCCATGTATTTGCTGTGCTTCCTCTTCTCTTCCTCTAGTTCATACAATGTCTGTCTGTGTGATTTTTCTACCATTAGAAGTTGATCCAGCATTCGTCTATGAGTTTCTTTCTGTTTCTCTACAACTTTATCAAGCTACAAAAAAAAAAAAAAAAAAGCAAAAACTCCTGAAGTGTTTTGCAACTTTTGCTTGCTCAGGCTTTCATAGAAGCTTAATAATATAAAATGCATTTAATAGCCCAATAGCCAGGTCTTTCATTATTTGTTTGGAAAGAGTTATTTCATTCCGTCAGTCTTATTGAAAAATAAGGTACTCTTTTGCAGGGCCCTCAGTCACCTTCTTTTCCTCCTCCTGCCATGACTGATTCTCAACAGCTACCAATTAACAGACACTGTTCCCAGGGCTGTGCTTTTCTCTCTGACCATTGTGGTAGAGAACTAGATGTTTTGGCAGAAGAAGCCACATCCACTGCTTCACACAGGGGATGACTGATTTATTTGCCTCATTTGTAGCTACATCAGAAATAAGATCATTCAATTGTTTTTGTAAGGTAGACAGGTAGATCAAAAAGCAGTTTTCCTCAGGTTTCACAGTAAACACATGGTAGAACCAAGAGGGGAAAGCAATCTTGTCTCCTGTGCTTAGTCTGGTCATGGCTTTGGGTTTCTGGAGTAAGTAAGTGCTAAATTTTGAAATAGTTACAAGTATTTCGCTTTAACAGTGTCATTTCCCATTTTGTTCCTCATGTTGTAAAGGGCTTTGCCTTGCAGATGACACCTTTATAGCACACTTTGAGCCTGAAATTCCCTCCCCTTCCTCTAGGATTTCTACTTAACTATTAATCATAGGATCATTAAGGTTGAAAAAGACCTCCAAGATCATCAAGTCCAGCCTTTGGTCAAACACCACCTTGTCAACTGAATCGTAGCACTAAGAGCCATGTGCAGTCATTTCTTGAACACTTTCAGGGATGGTGACTCCACTACCTCCCTGGGCAGCCCCTTCCAATGCTTGACCACCCTTTCATTGAAGAATTTTCAATCTTTCGTAGTATTATAATATAGTGATATTCTAATTTCAGTAATCTATTTTAGGTTTTGGTAATAATTTTTAGTATTTCTAAACCACAGAGGTATTGCCATAAGTGTTCACGAGACTTACACTGTTAGACGAAATAACTGCCACATACTTAAAGAAGAATGTGATTCTGAGGATTCTGTTATAACTCTGAATTCAGTACGTGACTGAGTTATGCAGGTGTGTGTATGAAACCGTAAGTGTTTTTTCCCTTTAGACATTACTAATCTAGCTGAAATTTCTGTGAGCAACTTTGTTCCCTGCTTGTTGCCCTGTGGAGGCTGCCTCCCTCATCAAGTCAGCACAGGAATCCTCATATCCTTTTAGGAAAAGAGATATTTCAAGCTCACAGCCTAGTGCCTCCTTTTAACCACGGTCCCTTTGAGCAGATCAGTCTGATTGTGGTGCTTCACTCTATTAATAGGAAAGAATTCACAAATGGGCAGTGTGGGAAGCAAAACTAGTTCTGGTTCTCTGATGCTTCCCCCACAAGGAATTCCATGTGCCATAAGAAACACTGGGGTTTCAGAGTCTTAGGGCTACTGCTTATTTTGGACCATTTAATTCCAATGATTATGATTAATTATCTTTTTCTTCATGTTTATTCACAGTTTGGCCAATAGAAGTGATGACAGAAAGAGCTGGAATGCCTAAACATGAGTTTCTTGAATGAGTGAGGGTATCATCAAATACTCCACAGGCTTCCAAGTCTCCCCCTGTGCTTATCTCAGCTTCTTTTAAGGCTTTTATACGTTTTGTTACATTTCTCCTGAATAATTGTTAACTTCTTGTTGACATTGCTATGAGGAAAAAAAATGGAGGCATCAACAAGACTTTGAGGATGGTCATAGTCCAAAGTATTCCAACAAAAATGTGGACCATTTTGAAAATTTTCTGCATTTTCAATTTATGGCATTAGAGAGTGCCTTTTCATCTCATTTCATGCATATCAAAACATGTAAAGAAATTGATGTCTTTTGTTCATCTACTAACTTACCAGAAAGAGGTTTTATTGACCTTCCCCCTGCTCCCAAGATTTTGTAATGTATTTTGGAACAGCTGTTGCACAGATCCATGAAGTGTCATCACCTGAGCTTCTGATCCTTGTGTTTTTAAAGGTCATGCTGTCAGGTGAATATATGCTGTTCTCAGAAGACAACCTGCCTCCTGTTTTTTGGTAAAGTTCTAATGCAGTGCTGCTTGCAACTTTGGCCCTGTCTTGCTTAAATTGATACGAACTTTGGCTGAGTGCTTGCTGGTCTCAGCCCTCAGTGCCAGGTCAAGCAGGAAGAAGGCAAAGGTGTGAACTTCAGATTCCTTTTGGCAGGCAGTCTGCATGGATGGGGTTAAGAAAGTAAAGAGATGCATTTGTATGTATTGGCCTATCACTTTGAAAAAATATGTAACAATCTAAGGGGAAGTGTAAACTGCTATTGTAAGAAAACACTGAAATTTCTGGCTACAACCTCATAATTCAAATGATCCTCCTTTCAAACATAAATGTTTGAGGGAGATGAGGGTTAGCCATCAGCCAAGCAACATTAACCAAGCAGAAATTAGTTCTGCTTCTGCACAGTTGAGTGTAAAGGATATGAGACCTGCCAGCAGGGTTTTATAGGTTCAGTCTATTTTGTTTGCCCTAGAGTATTTGTTGAACAGCTACAAGAGGTTAATTCAGGCAGTAATCCAAGCAGCATATATGCAAGAAGAAAGATAGTAACTGCAGGTCTTTGTTTTGCAGCTCTCAGTGAGCAATGCCAGTTCGTTTCAGTTCATAGCTGTGCTTTTGTCAGTGTTGAGATTACAGCCAGTTTGGATTACAGACTGGTATTTGGGATGGGTGAGGTGTGTATTTAAGGCAGGGAGGTGGAACGAGGAATTTTAAAGTGAGAAAAAGAACAGTAGTGTTGTGGGAAGGCCTGCTTACATGAAAGGGCAAGAGTGACAAGTATAAAAGCTTCTGTCAAACCGATTCTGCCGTGAGCATTTGGCTGTTGTGGCTGGGGACAAGGTGGAGAGTGTGAGCTTGTGATTCCACTCTGGATAGAAGAGAACAAATGCTGAGGCTGTCTTCTAGTACAGGTGGTTCATAGAGAGGAGTATTGGAGAGACAGCAGATCCTACATCACAATTAATGCAAACACTTGAGATCTGTATTTGAGATGCATAAAAGGTATGGGCATTTGGCTTTGTGACACTTGTGTGTGTTGCTGTGCAGCACACTTTTCCTTCTCTGCAGGACAGAGCAGAGTCTGGTACTGGGTTGCTGTTCTTCTGTGTGATTTATTGGGAAATTCTGTTGTGTCTCTCTGCAAGATAAGGGCACCTCCCTGGGGAGCAGGTTTGGCTCTTGGGTTTTCCCTGTGAGATTTTGTGGCAGACTCCCACATATCCACCAGAGAAGAGAGAGAAGTCTTGTGAACCTCTGCTAGTGTGAGGTCCTCACACAGAAGTGGTCTCCAACAGCCCTGGATTCCTCAAATTACACTGGCCAAATGCTAAATCTGCCCATGCAGAAATATCCATGTGTACACACACACAAGTTTACTCAGCCTACACAGTTCTTAGCTAAAAACCACAGAGGACTAATAAGCAGCAGTATAAATGTCTTCTGTTGAAAATTGAAGTGATAAAATCTTAATTAAGTGATTTGTTGTTTTGTTCTTCCTAACCATATGGTCTTTTTGCTAGAATTAATACTTGAACAGGCTGTACGATACAATGGAAAATAAGAGACATAGTCTTACGTAACTGTGAATAGTTCAGCACATTTAAAATTCGGATGAACTTAATAGTTTAAATACATTTTGCCACCAATTTGTGTCTGAAGTCAAACTAGAGTGGTGTGTCTCAAATCCATTACATCAGAACTGAATTCTTCATCTTTCTCTTTTTAGACTGTTTTCTGTTTGGTGATGTGCCAGAATAAAATCCAGGGTAGTTACGTTTCTTTATCCAAAGTTCAGCATAATATTATTCCTGTTAATAATATCCTCGTGGCCATTGTTTATAAATGTATAATCCTGAGTTTAGGATTACCGGAGATTATGGGAGCACTTCTTCCCTTGCCTTTTTCAACCCTAGCTGAGCCAAATTTCCATGCAGATGTGTTGGTCTTCTTTTCTGAATGCCACGTTGACAATGTTATTGTTTCAGTCTCTTCCTATGACTAACTTATTGCTGCCCTACAGCTCCCTTCCTTGGATAGTTTTGACCAACACTTACAAGGCATTGTGAGGATGCAATTAGATATACCTTGTTAAAAGGCTGATGAGGATGCATCTTTTCCCAAGCTGATTGGCACTGGGATTTTAAAAATGGATTAAATTTTTAATTAGCCCTGATAGGTGCAAAAAATGGGCTTTCTTCCAGTTTTGCTGCTTTTAGAGGAGGTCTCCAAGTGGTAGGAGGTATTGTTCATCCCATTTCAAACAGCAAGATGCCAGATTTTATTTTAAGCTTTGGCTCCTTTATTGGAAGCTGAGGAGAGTTAGAAACCAGAATGTGCTTTCTGGTTCCATGAAGGTTTGAAATGTGAGAAAAAACCACCATAAATTTTGCAGTACCTTCCTGTTTATCTCTCTTCTCTGCATCACCTTCTCTGATGTTTTTTTGATTCTTTTAGAAATATTGTTTATTTTGAATTTGGGAAAATTATTCTTATACTATTATTCTGTATTTACTGGAATGTTGCATACTTTTTGTTTTCCATTCAAGGAAAGTGTCAATTGATCTGAATACAGATATTTTCATGAATAACTGACTCAATCTAAGTTTATAAGCCATGCAAAGATGGACAGCCTTTTCAGGTCTTCGAGTCAGAAGCAAAACAGAAATAACAGTCTATTTTCTTTAATGCCCCTAAAGTGTGAGGACTAAGAGTAAGCCTATGTGACATTTGTTAAGATTGCAGAAAGAAATAGCTGTAGAGCAAGTTTGACTGGAAAAACCTACTGTTTTCAAAAATATTTTTTTTAAATCTCTTCATAAGCAAGGAAAACATGGTTTTGGACTGTCACTCCTCATAGGCTGTGCAAAGGAAGAGGTATTACTAGTGGTTTATAATTTGCTACATTTCTTCACTTATGAATCCTGTTCCAAATGAGTAAAGTTGCCCAGTCACCAAATGTTGCCACTATATTTTTAACCAAATTTGCTAAGAAACTTAAAGTTTAGAATATATGAGATAGTGGTGAGGGAATCTTAAAGGACTGGAAGTCTTACAGTTGCCTTCTGAAATTCACTTGAGTTTCGGGAAGAGCCTCTGTGTTCAGGGCAGCAAGGCTAAATTGTCAAGGGTGAGATGCACATGCAGATACAATGGTCCTGGTGGCAAAGGAGGAATATAAATGGTCTGTTCCCAGACTTTGTGTCTGGTTCCACCTCTCCTTTGTTTTTTATAAATGTTTTAAAAATACAAACAAAACCTAAATTAATCTCTGACTTAATGTAGGGGGATTTTGAAATGGAAATTGGGGAATGCCTTTCTATTATGGCATCGTTTAGTTTACCAACACCAAGAAGTGGCAGTGGTTCTTCTAGCCTTTCAGTTGCTCTCAGGATGTTTACCTTTGCCTTTTGGAATTGCCAAATCCAGTGGTGTTAGAAATTCTTTCTCTGCCATGAAGTGTAAGAAGGAAAAAGTGTGCATGAACTTACATGAAGTAACAGACAAAACTTAGGTTTTCAAACTTTTTTGGACTTCTCAAATCATTTCCATTCGTGTTCAAAGTTTCTGTGACACAATGCCACAATGTTCTAAAATGAATTAACCTTCACAGTTGAACTTTATCTGTTTCAGATTATATCCAGAGATTTCTAACCTTTGAGCTTCTGAAATGAGTGCTGACCTTCTATCTGACATCATGTTCTCTGAAATGATCTCTGTATCATTAGGTAATTTTCTGTTCAGAAAGCCTGGAAAACACTTGGAAGGACAATTTTATTCATAATTCCTGCCTTTATTTTTATGATATTTATCTATACTGAGCAGCATATTAAAAATCTTTATCTGAATGGGAGACAATTACTTGGGAGTACTGAAGGAGTTCTAGTATCCAGTGATTTGCGTTGCAGGGCAGAAAATATGATGGCTCCTGCTGCAGTGTGCTTAAACTAAAGGTTACTTAAGTATAATGTGAGAATATTAGATTTTTGCCTGGAAGAAGTTTCTAATGCCAGCTCATTATAGTAACTACTCAGGCCAAGCAGCTGTACCCATGCCTCCCCCCAGTTTTTGGGAGCTGGGACATGCAAGGTAGACAGCTGTGTCATTACTGCTGAATGGGTCCTCACCAGCCATTGGTAAGAAGACCTTCATGAGAATAATGGGGACTGGGGAGGCTATTTGTGTGGGTTGTGAGTATGGATAACAGAAAGGGGGGGAAAAAAGAGATGATGCCAAGAACAGAAGGCTGATTACCAGAGACTGAATTAGGCAAAATCATGTGCAAAATCTGCAAGGTGTGCAGCCACCAGTCTGCAGTATAAATGAAGATCATTAGATAACTGCTTTTATTAGGGTCCCAGCTGGACCCTGGACTTTGTTCTGTTGCCACTTACACTCATGTTAGAGCTCATTTGCTTTCTTCCCTGGAAGTGGGTGAGATATTTTCTGTTGAATTAGGTGGGAACTATGGTTAAATATCAATTACTCTGCTTACCTCTCCCATAGGCTTTTCGTAGATATCTTCTTGCCATTGCTCAGCCTTTGTTTGAATAGCATCTCGCTGGAGGGCCTCTAACACCTTCTTGGGAGTAACAAAGCCGTATTGTGCTTCAAGCAAAGCCAAGTCAATTTTTTCAGCCTTAAGTACTCCTATAACTTCATCTTGAGCCTGCAGAAACAGAAAGTAAGGCTTTATTTTGTTAAACAGCATGTATATATTTACAGGTTAGCTCTCTGCTTTTGATTTAAAAAAACCTGAAAATCTTTTTTCAGTAAGGCTGTGTATGTAAAGGGCCCCAAAATAGTCAGTAATGTGAAAATGGTTGAAAAGCATGAGGGAAGTACTGATCTTTGTATTTTTAGTAGTTATGCATAAACTCCAACATCTTCAGAACCTTCCTTAAAGCTTAAGTACTTTGTTAGTGATTAGCTCATATTGCTGTTTCTCTATCAGTGTGTAGCATTCACAGGACAAAATTTCAGGTCAAAGTGTGAGTTATGGTATTAGAAACTGGCATTAAATTGCTAGTGCAAGATGTTAGGATGCTTCTTAGGCCTGAAAGTGTTGCACATTCTGTATGTTCTGGGTGCAGATGGCTTCTGTAGTTTAAACCCCCTATACATGTGTCCACCTGTTTGGATTTTTCCCCCACCCTGAATCCTCTGGTGGTGGAGCCTCCATTGCAGAGACATAACTGCATGAACTGTCTCAAACATCCATTGTCTTCAATGACCTCAGTTAAAAACAAGTATGTGTTAATCCTAGAAGAGTAGAATAGGAAGGAAAGAAATCAGAAAAAGGGATGTAGCAGGAAAGGCTAACACTTGCAGTCTGACTGCTTTTGCCTGGAACACTTCTGTATCCATATTTATGACTGTTTTAAAAAAAATTAAAATATAAAATAGTCTATTTCTAATCCTTAGCATTTCAGAAAAAATACAAGAGTGAACTTTTCGCATCTTAAATGTTCTGGAATTTGGAAACTAATGGCATCTAACTTAGAAACTTAATTATGGTTGGATTGACAGCTGATCTTCAGAGATTTGACTTGGCATTACAGGAGGTGGAAAATTAGGAATAAAAAATTACTTTTTGCCTTTTTTCATTCATAATGCTTCCTTTGGAATTTCAGACATGATTTAAAATGTTCATGTCAGGTTCATTGTTTTCCAGTTTCTCATTTCACTCTGTTCCAGTTTTAATTCATAAGAATAGAAGTGTGTGCATATATATTTATACTACACAAGTGTGATGAGGAGAGTGTGTGTGTGTAATATATACAAATATATGTTTTTAAACATCTCTTTTACTGAGAGGAACAGAGAACTGTTTTGGAGGAGTGTGTGACATCTGAATTGTAATCTAAATTAGGAGAGGGCAAGTGATTAGGAGAGAAATGTTTTGCAAGCACGGAAATTGTTCTGTTTGCATAATGAAACAATCTGTAGAAGTTTGCCTTGGATCTACCCTCAGAGATTGGTACATCTATTAAATATTCATATTCCATGTGTGTTCTGTTATGCATGTATGTATTATTACATCAACATACACATGTGTTAAAAATAGAATTACCCAGGTACTGTCTGGGTAATAAACTCAGAAACCATGTGATATACCTGTTTATGCCACTTTGGCCAGTTTGCTCTTTCCTCTCTCTGTGAGCAGTTTTAAGTGACTGTCACTACTTCAGTGCAATTAAGTCTGCCTCAGAAATATTTTCCCTGCTCACTAGGAAATCTGGTTCCCACTTCCTGAAATTACTCTTGACTTGGTTAGGCATCATTTACCACTTGACAGCTGGCTCCTTTTCTAGGTAGAAAAATGCTCACTCTTCAAAATCCACTATCTTGTGGGGTAAGTGGCATGCAATACTTATGCTTCATATTATGGGAAATGAAATGGCTATTTTGATTTTTCTAGCAGAAGATGTTAGAATCCTGTTGAGTGAGTTACTTCTTGTGATCAGGCACACATTGATTCATAGGGAGCAATGCTCATGGGTTCATAGGAGAGGGACCTTAGAAACAAGTAAAAGATCTGAAAGGTCTGTAATGTATTCTTCATATACATTTTACAGTGACAAATAGTTTGTATTCAAAATACTAAAATGGGGCAGGACAATTGGAAAGTTTTGTGAGCTCCCTGCTTTGAGAGTTAAGTGTGGTATAAAGATCACCTTGTCTGTCTGTCTGATACCTATAATAGCTATAATTTGCATTGGTTTTGTTCTTCACAGTTCATATTTGTCCTGTATCAAATTAGGTAGGGTGTTTCCTTAACGTAAGAGCAGCATGTGTTTGTGGTGGATGGGAGAGTGGCAGGGTGGAGTGTGTTTTAATATGGAATATAAAATATGTCAATACATTACCTGTAATTCACCCTCGAGGACACTAAGAAGAAATAGCAAGTCATCACGAGAGAGATCCTCCCTTTTCTTGGAAGAACTTCTTTGCTTTTTTTCTGCCTTAGGACTTCTTAGGATGGTACTGGCTTGGGCTTCATCATCCTCTTTCTGCCTTCTTTGTACATTTCCTTTCCCACTGCAAACATCCTCTTCTTTATGGTGGTCTTTTGGCCTCTGCTGGCTCAGCTTTGGACTGGTTGGGCTTTCTGTGCTGCTACTTCTGGAACGCATGGTTTATATCTCTGAAGCTGAAGGAAGTTGGAGAAAAAAGTAATCATTTTAACTAAGAGAGACTAGAAAACTAGTACCATAATTAATGGTGGATATTGTTCCCTTCAGAATGGTAGTTTTCCCTCCCATGCAGGGCTGTTTGTCATTTCATAAATGCTGACAACCTTGCGTAAACCAACAGGACTGAGCTGTGATCCTTACTGATTGTCTGTAGTGAAGTGAGTCTTTACTGGTCTTACACCATTGCAATAATTCTCTCCTCAATATTTGTGAAGGCAGTGTCCTTAGAAGCTGTGCTGAGCACGTCACCACAGACCATGTTTCCCATTTGAGAGACAGGGCCTACCTCACCTTTCAGGCTGGTACTTACTATGATGAGGCAAATTTAGGTTTCGAAGGTTTTCAGTAGGAGGATCTTTCTGTTCAGATTTAATAGTGTCTGAACCCTTATTGTGTTCGGATTTTCTTTGTCTTTCCAAGAGAGAACACCAAAGCAGTCCTCCACTACTACAAGCAGTGCAGTTGTTTGGCAAAATGTAGGAGTTAGCAAGTGCATCCAGACTGCAATGAGTGAGCATTGCTGTAAACTGCCCTTCCCCAACACCACCATCTCCAAAACCATATTAACTTGCTGGTCATGACATGTCCACCTTTGAAAACTACACAGTATGAAACCTAACTACTTCTTTAGTACTAGAGCCTAGCACTCAGGAGGTGTTAGTACCTGGTAAAAGGGAGACTTACCCTGACTAGGTCCCTTTGAAGTGCCACTGTTAGGGAAACATACTCTAAGGACTTTGCAGATAAATGACTAATACTGTGTAAATATTGATCAACCTCAGGAACTCTGTTTTGCTTATCACCACTCTGATTAAGGTGTGAATGGATTTTAGACCACCTCTACTGGAACACTGTGGTCATGGATACCATATAGCAAACAAAAACCTGATCGTGTGATTCAAAGGTGAAATTAAACACATTCCAAATACAAATAAGGCACAATTCTTCTTATTAAACTGCAAAGCTAATTGCTGAAAGGTCAGAAAATGCTTATGGCCTATGATGGGCAGGAAGTGATTATGTGGCTGCTTTTTGGCCTCATAAATCTGTGGCTGATAACATTCTTTCATAGCCTCCTCCCCTACTCCCTCCCACCAGATTCTGACTCTAAATGCTGAACTCTGTGACTGCACTCCTTAACTGTGGTAATTTTCCACTGAATGCTACAAACACTGCCTTTTATTATTTTCGTGTAAGAACAGTGGAGGTGAAAGAAGCTTTTGGTTTGTAGTGGATGATGACTGAGAGTGGGGAGAATTTATCAATAACATTACCAAAAAAAAAAAAGTGACATTTTCTACAGTGCTGAAGTCTCTTCTAGTCTGACTTGAAGTACTCATAATAGCTTGTATTTAATATGAAAAATTTGTTTCTCCAGGTGTCCAAAAACCAGGTGTGTCAGATTTGCATGGCAGTGTGCACCAGAACCTGTTTTGTGAAGCTGTGCATCAGCAGTGTCAGATTAGCATAGGAGCTTATCGTAGTGCATGTAGGAAACCAAGAGTTATTCATAGCAGGCTGGCAGAGATGTTAGCTGGTGGTGATTAGTTGGTGTTCATCCTGATTTTTCAGTCAAATGTAGTTTCTCTTTGTTCACTGTGGATTGCTTATTAGGCTTAGTCACCTATTGCACCTTTCTCACAGATTGTTATTCCTTTGGAAGACCACCTTTGAGCTTCCTTTGAGCTTCCTTTGAGCATAAGATGCTGCTTCATTTTTTTGCGTACTGTTAAAGACGAGTGTTTATAAGATCAAATGCAGGAGTCGTGAGCTGAATCAGGTGACCTCAATGTACTCGGAGCTTCTCTGTGTGCTTTGTTGCCACACTATGAAATGTATATGTAGTCCAAGAATTCCTTGCATTTTTTCCTCTCATGCATGCCAGCTGCAGCAGCGGTCTCAAATGGATATCTATCTACTGTCAAACCTGTTGAAAAGTGTCTATATGGCATTTCTTGCGGAAGGAAAAAGAAACCAGTATATAAGAAAGATGCCACACCTGGATATCCTGAACTTGAAAAGACAGTAGTCTCAGCAATCCTGCCAAGAAGATTATCCTCCCCTGCTTTTTCTCTTACACTGCTGCATGCTGTTAGCTTCAAGGCAGCATGTCACATAGTTTTTACAGCTGCAGAGGGATAGCTGTTACTCCCTTTTAAGCTTGTTATGCCTACTTCTTAATCAAGTAGACCAGTCCTTACTGCACTGGCAAAAGGTACTTGGTCCGTGTGAAGGCCAGCTGACTTGCCAGACAGGTTATGCTCCTATGGAGAGGGTATCTTGGCAGTCTCCCAGAATGGATTTTTCTTCTTTTTTTTGTTGAGTAGAGTTATGTACACTTTACCAGTATTCTATTCTGACATTCCTGAATGTCAATGCCTACTGCCAAATCTGCTAATGCAAATATTTATCAAATTTAGCAATTAGTAGGAGTTATTAGATGTTGAAGTGGCATACTAAATGTATGCTTTAAGCATTTTTTATAATACTTAAAGTAGCTGACAAGAGGCACAAGCACTCTGGTATTAGTAGCCTGCTTTATTATGTATTTGTTCTCCGTTGATGTATTTAAGCCTTCTTATTGCCTGTTGTAGTATTGCCTCTTTGCATAAGGATGTTAGTGCTAATTTGGTTGTCAAAGGAGGCAGGTATGAGCTACAAAGGGCAATTCAAGACTTCAAATTATCTCACACTGTAGCTGCTGGTATAGCGAGCAAAGTGGGATCCCAGAAATGGACAAAAGTAAACTTCCCATCCACCTACCTTCAAACTCCTCACCACCTTTGAATTGTCAGACTCCCTAGATGTGATACCATCTAAGGGACTAACCTTCAAAATGCACCTGATATTTTGGACAGAATATCAGCTACTCTGTCATGCCCTTGCACCATAGCATAAAATGGAAAAAATGCCCATTCTAGTCTAGAGGATGCTGACTTTCTGCAATGTTATTAAACCCTTGAATGACCATAGTGAGACATTCAAGAAAGTAGTGTCATTTGAAATTTTCTACCTGTGTGTTTGGGTATGTTGAGTTATTCTCTGTTTTGGGCAACTCTTTTCCACGTTCTTGAATGTTCTTGAAGGTTAATAAAGAGCAATTCTTTTCTGTTTTTTTATTTTTTTCCACAAGCTAAAAATGTTGATAGACTCAAAAAGTTTGTGGATATCAGTTGTCTCATGGCACCCAAAAAAGTAAGTCCAGGCTCTTAAGATGAGTGAAAAATTTACCTTTTTGCATCTCTGTCTCAGCCTGTTTTCACTTATGTTATATAATGGTGGGGTCTCTGTATAAGAAAGCTGTCTTGCAATTAAAGTGGTAAGGAAGAAATGTTCCTTCTTGTAATAGAGATTGTAGTTCACAGGGGCTTTGTGATTTCTCCTGAAGGACTGACTCTTGCATCTTGTGGCAAATGTCTATAAAGAAGCTCATTTAAAGCCTGTTTCTTGCTCATCTCTGTACATACATGCTGTCCTTCTGCATATAAAGGAGAATTTTTCCCCTTCTTGGTGATGAGCAAATAATCTGAGGGGTCAAAATACACTTTTCTAAGGAGCCAGATGAATAAATGACCAAATGTTTCTATGATGTTAACTTGGTCTCCACCCTCTCAGTCATATTCTGAAGGAGATGGAACTGCATTTGTCTCTTTGGCAGCAGTGAATAAGCAGGTGGTTCAGAAATCCCTGCACTTTTGTGGGAAAGACTGAAATATCTTTCAGAGATGACTTCATCATAGGGTTTTAAGAAACATCCTTTTTTTTCCCCCATCTATTTTCCCCTTTAGTGTTTTCTCTTTAGTCAGTGATTGACTTATGAGCTAACAAAATCCCTCACACGACCAAATCTTCCCTTGATCCCAGGGTAAGGACCCTGAACTGTTGAGAACTTGCTGTTTCTTCCAAAAATCTGTGACGAAGCAAGGAATTATGTCTCTGCTTTTTAACATCCCTTAAAGGGCTATGCTCTTGATTTGCTGAAATTGATAGGACTCCTACCAACAGACTGGCTTTCAAAAGGAGTTGAGATGTGGTTGCTCAGTTTTCCAATGTAATGGAAGAGCACAAGGCACATGATGTCTTTTGGAAAGTCATCTGCAGTCCTCTGTCAATCACTACGATTGTGGTTTGAGGCAGGAAGAGAGGTGGTCTCACCTTAATTGCTACGGGTTTACAGGCTATTTTTCCCCTTCCCTGTGTAGCAAAAGCTACTTTGAAGCACCATGTTCAGCTTAGTGCCACACATTCTCTAAGAAGAAATTAATCTCCTGTCCCTGTTCTTTTGTGGCCACGTGTCATCTAGTCTCCAGAGAAAGTGCTTTCGGCTAGACCACATCATGTCCTTCACCAGAAAAAGAAGCAAGTTTGTCTTGTCCTCCTCCTGTAGTTCTGATGTGGCCTGTGGGCTAGCAAATGAGCCATGCTGAACTGTGGGAGAACAGAAATAAGTCTGTTTATTAATCAGAATCCCAAGATCTGGCCATTTCACAGCATCACTGAGCCTTTTCTGGAACTGGTGCCTTCTGAGTGATTGTATTTAGGACTGTCATTCTTCACCCAAGTGGAAATATATTGCGTTGTGGTAGATTTACACCACTTCACCACTTCCAAAGATAACAGCCCTTCCTTTGGGGTAGGCTGCTTAAGTGTTTTCCTGAAAACCATTTGCAGTGGCTTCTATCCAGAGGGATGTTCTGTTGCCCCATGACCAGCTCTCTCAGTCAGGCTGTGCTCTCGTTGTCCATAGGCTCTTGTGCTGTTTTGGTGCATAGGCTGGTCAGTAAATGAGAAGAGACTCCTTTAATGGATTCTTCGCCCAGAGACTCTGGGATGAATGTTTGATCCTGGCAAGGAAACTGCAAGATTAAGCTGTTTTTCTGGGAAAACTGATGCAGGCATGCTTACCTGTGTATCCCGATGCATCTGTTGGTATGCAGAGT